AAATAAAATAAAAAATAACGTGCCGATGGAAAGGAACCTGTTAAGTCTACAACGCAATCAGCACCATCGTCATTCTTTTATGGAAAAATATATATTATAGTGGGTGAAGCAAGCATTATGCAAAATGCATATGCAAATGGTGATAGTTTAGCTATTAGCATTTAATGCACAGAATCCAGTGGTGCACAGGGCTGCGAAAACAAAATCATAGTGCATTCTGGGGAATAATATTCATGTTCAGTAACTGCAAGCTTTGCATCATGGGAAATGTTGAATTTTTATTATTATTAACAACATTTATAGAGTGCCAACATCTCCAGCAGCACTTTACAATTATAGAGTGGGGATATTTGACAAGTAGTATTTGATATACAGAATATTAACGATAACAAGAGGTGAAAAGAGCGCTGCTCACATGAGTTTACAATCTATGAATCACAGCAACTACAGTTTCTCATATTTGGGCTGTACTCAATATATTAAACAGTAAGTTGCTCTCAAAAACTACAGAATACTTTAGCTTAAAAAAAAAACCAACAAAAAAACCTTTAAAGGCCAGAAAGATGGAGACCTTTGTCTATAACAGGTTGTTTGTTTGTTTTACAGGCACTATAGTGGCCCTTTAATATATGTTTTTTTCAGGAGAAATAGGGTTTTAATTTCACATCAAATATTTACATATGAAACATCATTTAATATACATAAAACCTAAAAAAAACAAAACATTTAAACTAATTTCATAATACTGCTAGCTTTTACTGCAATAAAGCACATATTTGTATGTTGTCATGTGCCACATGTAAAATGATGCCCCTCATATGCAGGTTTTATGGGGTTTTGGAAAGTTACAGGGTCAAATATAAGGATCGCCAATTTAATTTTCTGGTATATATTTATATCCTGATCAATCATGGCGCATTTACTCATGGGTTAGTTCCTCCCCTCACAGCAGAAAGGACAGGAAATAGAACTCTGAAATTTGTATAAATAGATTCACCCCTTCCCATCAGGCAGTCTGTTTTACTGTCCTTCACAGCATTTTAAAAGGAGTCTGCTTTAGCAGACTTAGATTTTTATTTTATGCTCACTAGGCCAATATTTTTGTAGGCCCAGCCAAGATTAAGGCTATAATCCCTGAAGACCCAGCAAGCAGCACAGGTGAAAGAGTTGCCACCCTGGGTACACCGCTTCAGTGACCGGGGGTCTGACCTAACTCTCTCCATGATGCCGAGTGCATACCAAGTCACATTTGGTTAGGAGCGTGGAAGCACCTCTAGTGGCTGTCAGGAAGACAGCAACTAGAGCCGAGTTTAATCCTTCCATCATAACATTGCTGCATATAGAATATGGCAATTTTAGAGTAAAGAGCCAAAAATACATGGTCACTAACCTTTTAAGGATCTGCAAATATTTTGGGCTGAAATCAGATTGCAGGATAGCTCACACAGTTTGTTTTGTTGCTTTTTTTATTTTGCATGTGTGTTGTCAACGTGATACACCTTGCTGCTCAGCCAATTAGAGGCTTATTTTCTGCTCTGTTTGTAGAACAAACTGCAAACTCATAAACGAGACTAAAGATAAGTAGACAATAATAACGATGAAATTAGCGATATGATCTATTGTATACTAAGCTACTGAAAGTGAAATGAGTATTAAGCATTCGTTAAAAATGGCTACTACGTAAAAAGAAATATTAAAAACCTCAGAAAGTCATTTTTATGTGCTCAGTTTATAAATATATTTAGGTGATGGGTAAGCTTAAAATAGATCCATGACATATTCATATATATTTATACATATTCACACAATACCCATTTTTAATTAGATTTGAAGGTAATTTTGCCAGTGTGAGTTTTTCTACACACTTTTGTAAATCTGTTAGCTTAGTTTTTTAAGACAGAGGTTAATATGCAGAGAGGATTGTTCACTATAGTAAGATTTGATAGGAATTCTAAGTGAATTTTAAATTTAAGACCAACAAAGCCAAATTGGAAACTTAGATGATTTAGAGAAATTTTCCAATTTGCCCATTTTGGCCTTAAAACTAGCAATTCGTTTCCGTCCTAATGTGAATTCGGACAAATTACAGGCAATTCGGACATTTGAATGCTTCCGAATGTCCGAAGTGCCAAAGTGCCGAAGTGCTGAATTGCCAAAGTCCCGAATTTCGGAAGTGCCAAACCAAACTGAATTGCCGAAGTCCAGAATTTCGTAAGTGCGAACCAAACCGAATGGCCAATGATCGGAAGGGCCAAAGTGCTTCGGATTTCCCGAAAAGGGGCAAAACAAGAGAGGGAGGGAAAATTAAGTAAATGATGAAAGGGTTAGGGTTGGGTAAGCATAGGGTTAGTGTAGGGCTAGGGTAGAGTAGGGTTAGGGCTAGAGTAAGGTTAGGGTTAAGGTAGGGTTAGGGTAGGAGTAGTGTAGGGTTAGGGTAGGGTTAAGGAAGGGTTAGGGTAGGGTAAGTTTAGGGTTAGGGCGCCCTACAGAGTTTCTGAAGTACCTAATTTTCTGAATTGCTGAAGTCCCAAATTGCCGAAGTCCCGAAATGAACTTGAGTGCGAAAGTCCCGAAGTGCCGAACCGAAGTGCCAAATTGCTGAAGTGCTGAATTTTTTTTCTTACCCGAATTTCCGAACTGAAACTAATTTTTGGATCCTATATGCATTACTTGCAATTAGCCATGTATTAACTAATATGCGTGTTCACAAAATCTTTTCAGTTGTTGCATGCATTAGTTAGCTGTGGAGTCTTATTCATTGGGCGATCCGTCAGACATAGATTAAAAGAAATCTGATTCGTTCGTACCAGCTGAAAAAGACTTTTGTGCACAAGTCCATTGATTGTAACTGTGTATTAATCTGACTGGAAGAAAAGCAATAAGCCATAGTGTGACTCCTACGCGGAAACATAATTTTTCATATAAAATGATACCGTTTTCTTTTTCTTTTTTTTAAACTCTATTTTCTACTTGCAGCATTCTTGCCCAATCTCATAACAAACCGTTTTTTTAAGATGCACCAGACTTTTAGAGCAGCTACCTCTTGTTTAAGTTAAATTTCTTACTGCAAAGAAATATTGGGTTTCTGATATAAGCAGAGTAGACAGGTAATAACATAGCAAAATTTATAGAACTGCCTGCATAAGCAGAACAACACGAAGAAAAAATATACACTAAGACTGCAAAATATACAGCCCGGAATATCATAAATATCTATTTCTCTTCCAGAGGGGCCAAAGAGCACAATGAGCTGTGATGCATTGTAGATACCTCTGGATTTTGGGGGCTATGCAAAACAACATATATAAAAAAAAAACATCTTGATAACGAAAGCTCGGTATTGTACAATTCTTAATTTTAAAATGATTGCTGCTTTGTGTACATTGGTTTTGAGAGGTTTCAAGCCACTGATCTACAGGAGATGACAATTATAGCAGGTATCAGTTCAACACACAGGTACAAGGAAATTTGGCGCAAATTAAAGGGATACTCCGGGCACCCAGACAACTTCTGCACATTGGAGTGGTCTGGGTGCCAATTCCCACTACCCTTAACCCTGCAACTGTAATTATTGCAGTTTTCATAAACTGCAATAATTGCCTTGCAGGGTTAACTCCTCCTCTAGTGGCTGTCTAATAGACAGCCACTAGAGGGCACTTCCTGATTCATAGCACAGGTTTTCTGTGCTAGAGCGTCGCTGGACGCCCTCACGCTGTGTGAGGACCTCCAGCGTCGCTGAAATCCCCATAGGAAAGCACTGAAAGCATTTTCAATGCTTTCCTATGGAGAGCTCTAATGCATGCGCATTAGGTCTCCTCAGCCGGCAGGCGTGATCAGTCTCACCCACCGGCTGACGTGATGAAGGGGAGGAGCGGCGGCGTCCCAAAACCACTGCCGAGGCACATTGGCGGGGGTCTCAGGTAAGTCACTGAAGGTTTTTTTTTACCCCTGCAGCAAGGAGAGGGGACCTGCAGTGCCAGGAAAATGGATTGTTTTCCTGGCACTGGAGAGTCCCTTTAAGAAAGGAATAAGCAGCTGTAGAGTCACCTAACGTTTATTCCTTAAAGAAGCAGTTTTGGTGTATAGATCATTCCTCTACTGTCTTAGTGCTCAATTTCATGCCACTTAAGAGTTAAATCACGTTTGTTTCTCTTTATGCAGCCCTAGTCACACCTCCCTTGACTATGACTGACACACCCTAGATGAAAAAAAGAATGGTTTCACTTTTAATCGCTTTAGAAGTTTTTGTTTTTTTATCACTGGCTCTGTTAATTGAACTTTAATTACACACAGGCTCCTGTAGGATCTAGCAGACTATTAACCGAGCAGGAGATAAGAAATTTTAAATTATACATGGTGAGCTATACAGGAAAGTTAAACATCATATCTCTCTGTACAGGAAGTGTTTACTAAGGTTGTGCAAGGCACATGCAGGGAGGTGTGACTAAGGCTATTTAAGCAAAGAGAATAACTTCTAAATGGCAGAGAATTGAGAAGTGACACTGGGGCATGATCTATACACCAGAACTGATATGTGACGCTACAGTTGTCTTGGTGCCTATAGTGTCCCTTTAATTTACAATCTCACAAATGCTTGGACACAGCAAAATATCTCCACATCTAATGCTTAAACAATGTTAAAGTGTAATATTCATTTTCAGAAATCCTACATTTTTTTGTTCAGTATACTCAAAAAAACCTTGCAGTGCTCCTCACAGGTTTAATTAACAAATAAGAAAATGTTACAAAATGTAGGAACAGCAGCGCTGTATGCAGCCATTTTAGTCACTTTTTGGTCCAGTTTTTTCTTTCTCTTTAAGGTACTCTTCCCCTTTGTTTCCAGCTGAATTTTTTTTTATCTTTTTGTCTTATATAACAACTATATATTTTGCGTATATATATATATACTTATATAGGATCTGGTAGACTTAGAGTTGTGGATAAAAGGCATTTTGCACAGTCTGTTGCTCTTCATAATTCATTTTCTGCACTTTCAGATTGTAATGGTGTTGTGGAGAGAGGCACTGAGGCTAGTGGTGTTGTAGAGAGAGGCACTGAGGCTAGTGGTGTTGTGGAGAGAGGCACTGAGGCTAGTGGTGTTGTGGAGAGAGGCACTGAGGCTAGTGGTGTTGTGGAGACCGGCTTGGAGACTATGGTGAGGCCTAATAGAAAGCAGTTGTTGTTGGGTGATTCCATTATAAGAGGTGTGGAGATGGACAATGGTGGTCTTGTGAGGTGTCTTCCCGGAGCTACTGCTCACAGAGACAGGAGACGTATCTGTAATATTGTTAAGCAAGCAAAGCAGGAAGGGGAATTGGATGTACTTGTCCATCTAGGGACAAATGACTTGGCTTGCAATGAGGTTTCAGAGGTTAAAGAAGTTTTTAGTGTTTTTGCCAATGATATACGGCAGGTTGCTTCCACACTGTCATTCTCTGAAGTTCTGCCTGTGCATAACACTCAGAACGACAGGCGGATGCGTATTAGGGACTTTAATTTGTGGCTTGGTGAATGGTGTCGGGAGCAAGGATTTGGCTTTATTTCTCATGGTAGCTCTGTTTGGAATGGAAATAAGCTGTACAAAAAAGATGGTTTGCATCTTTCTCAAAAGGGAACAAATGTTCTCAGTGAGCAGTTCAGAGGTTTTGCTAGGATGTATTTAAACTAGGAGGGGGGGGCAAAAGGGTGATAAAACATCAATCCAATTGTCCCCAAAACAAGGACAGAAGGTGCCTGTAGCAAGTGTGTTAAAAAATGATAAGCTTAGAGTCATGTCTACAAATGCTCGCAGTTTAGGGAATAAGATCCATGAACTTGTGGCAATAATGGCAACTGATAGTGTAGATTTAGTCGCTGTTACTGAGACATGGTACAATGAGAAAAATGACTGGGACATAGCAATACCAGGGTACTCTTTATATAGGAAAGATAGGGAAGGCAAGAAAGGGGGAGGGGTGGCCTTGTATGTGAAGGATAGCATAAAATCTAGCCTAATAAAAGTTAGTGAGGCAAACATAGAGTCCGTTTGGGCTACGTTAGAATTTGGTAATCACACAGTAACTCGTGTAGGTGTGATTTATAGGCCCCCAGGACAAATTGAAGAGTTAGATAATCTACTAGTTGAGGAAATAGCTAAAATGACAATGAAGGGGGAAGTTATCATCATGGGTGACTTTAATCTTCCTGATGTAAATTGGAAAACAAAATTAGCTACTTGTGCCAGGAGCACACATATTCTAAACTCCCTACTGGGATTGTCTCTAAAACAAGTTGTCGAGGAGCCAACTCATAAAGAGGCCATACTAGATTTAGTGTTAACAAATGGAGATTTGGTATCAGATGTTACTGTAGGTGAAAGTTTAGGATCCAGTGATCATCAGTCAGTATGGTTTAATATAAGAACAGTGACTGAGTCACACCACACAAAAACAAAAGTTTTAGACTTTAGAAAAACAGACTTTTCTAAAATTAGAATGTGGGTAGAGGAGTCATTATCAGACTGGAGCAATTTAAATGGAGTCCAAGAAAAATGGGATTATTTAAAAGTTGCACTATTGAAGGCAACAGAAAATTGCATTAGGCTTGTCAGTAAAAGCAAAAAATTCAAGAAACCACTGTGGTACTCCGCAGATGTGGCCAAAATAGTTAAAAACAAAAAGTTAGCATTTAGGAATTATAAAAAAACCCAGAGTGAGGAAGACAAAATGATCTATAAGATTAGGCAGAAAGAGGCTAAGCAAGTTATAAGAGCTTCCAAATCACACACAGAAGAGAAAATAGCACAGTCAGTAAAAAAGGGGATAAAACATTTTTTAGATACATAAATGAGAAAAGAAAAGTAAAACAAGGATTAGTTAGATTAAAAACAAAAGAAGGAAGGTATGTAGAAGAGGATAAAGGTCTAGCTGACTGCCTCAATGAATATTTTTGTTCTGTATTTACAGATGAAAATGAAGGAAAGGGACCTCAGTTGAGAAAAAGGATAAATGAGTCATTTATTACACGTGAGTTTGCAGAGGAAGAGGTTCTATTTCAACTGTCAAAAGTAAAGACAAATAAGTCAATGGGACCTGATGGAATACACCCAAAGCTATTAAAAGAGCTTAGTGGTGTACTAGCAAAACCATTAACAGATTTATTTAACCAATCATTGTTAACAGGAGTAGTCCCAGAAGATTGGAAGTTAGCGAATGTTGTGCCCATTTACAAGAAAGGTAATAGGGAGGAGTCGGGCAACTATAGGCCAGTAAGCCTTACTTCAGTAGTGGGGAAAGTGATGGAAACCATGTTAAAGGATAGGATTGATGAACATCTAAAAACACATGGATTTCAAGATCAGAGACAACATGGGTTTACTTCAGGGAGATCATGCCAAACTAATCTTATTGATTTTTTTGATTGGGTAACTAAAATTATAGATCAGGGTGGTGCAGTAGACATTGCTTACCTAGATTTCAGTAAGGCTTTTGACACTGTTGCACATAGAAGGCTTATCAATAAACTGCAATCTTTAAGTTTGGATTCCAATATTGTTGAATGGGTAAGGCAGTGGCTGAGTGACAGGCAACAGAGGGTTGTAGTTAATGGAATATATTCGAAGCTTGGACTTGTCACCAGTGGGGTACCTCAGGGATCTGTACTTGGACCCATTCTCTTTAATATTTTTATTAGTGATATTGCAGAAGGTCTTGATGGTAAGGTATGTCTTTTTGCTGATGATACTAAGATATGTAACAGGGTTGATGTTCCAGGAGGGATAAGCCAAATGACAAATGATTTAGGTAAACTAGAAAAATGGTCAGAATTGTGGCAACTGACATTTAATGTGGATAAGTGCAAGATAATGCATCTTGGACGTAAAAACCCAAGGGCAGAGTACAGAATATTTGATAGAGTCCTAACCTCAACATATGAGGAAAGGGATTTAGGGGTGATTATTTCTGATGACTTAAAGGTAGGCAGACAATGTAATAGAGCAGCAGGAAATGCTAGCAGAATGCTTGGTTGTATAGGGAGAGGTATTAGCAGTAGAAAGAGGGAAGTGCTCATGCCATTGTACAGAACACTGGTGAGACCTCACTTGGAGTATTGTACACAGTACTGGAGACCGTATCTTCAGAAGGATATTGATACCTTAGAGAGGGTTCAGAGAAGGGCTACTAAACTGGTTCATGGATTGCGGGATAAAACTTACCAGGAAAGGTTAAAGGATCTTAACATGTATAGCTTGGAGGAAAGACGAGACAGGGGGGATATGATAGAAACATTTAAATATATAAAGGGAATCAACACAGTAAAGGAGGAGACTATATTTAAAAGAAGAAAAACCACCACAACAAGAGGACATAGTCTTAAATTAGAGGGACAAAGGTTTAAAAATAATATCAGGAAGTATTACTTTACTGAGAGGGTAGTGGATGCATGGAATAGCCTTCCAGCTGAAGTGGTAGAGGTTAACACAGTAAAGGAGTTTAAGCATGCATGGGATAGGCATAAGGCTATCCTAACTATAAGATAAGGCTAGGGACTAATGAAAGATTTTAGAAAATTGGGCAGACTAGATGGGCCGAATGGTTCTTATCTGCCGTCACATTCTATGTTTCTATGTTTCTATGTTTCTATATATATATACTTTTCCATTGTTTTTCCAAATTAATAAATAAAATATTTGGGGATTTACATGAAAACAAAGGACTTTAAAAGTGAGCACATTTTTTGAAGCTTTTATCATTTTCAATGATTTTAGTTTTTGCATATTTTTCGTCCCCCTTTAAGTTTTGCAATCTGATTTCCAGCTCACTGTAATTCACTGCTTAGTAGATAGTCCGAGCTATTTTAGCGAGACGTTTTCACAGAGACGTGGAACCTCTTTCAGTTCCTGTAATTCTGTCGCACATCATGCTCAGACGCAGAATTCCAGCCTCCCTCTGGCCTGTGTGAGGTGGTAGAGACACTTTGTATGTCTATCAAAGTGGAAGAATCTTTTAAATTCTGACAGTGACTCCTCACCTCACAGGCACTAAAGAAATACATCAATGGGTGAATCCTTTGCCATGTAATTTGTGTCCTTGTCACCGCACACAATGACAAATTGCTGTTTAATGCTAAACTTTCTCGGCAGAGCTTCTCGAGCACTTACTGCATGTTACCTTTGCTGACCCATTTCATGCTTCAGGGAAGACTTACCCCTTTTCATATTTTTGTTTATTTTCTTTCTCTTAAAATGCAATATTTTGCAATCTGGTGCAAAGCACCCAAAACAAATAGAAATTGTAAGTCATTTACTGGCAGAGCATTGTGGGAAGAATTAGAGTCTAGTGGATTCAAAGATTAGCCATCACTGATAAACCGGACTGGTATAGATGATAAGGTACTAAACTACACTAGATTGTATTGCAAAAGTAGCCAGGACTGGGGTGAGTGGGGCCTGCCTCGAGTGGGGCAGTAATGTATAACAGAGATAAAACATTTATGAAATGTTTTGTAAGCAGATTCGTTCGTGTAAGGAAACAAATTTCAATTTCAGATAATCTATTTTTGGGTGGAGAAGATGTTCAGCTTTGGAAAGAAAATTAAAAGGAAAAGAAGTTGCTCCTAGGTGTTGTTCAGGAACATCATTCAATGTGTGTCTCGCCATCATCCAATGTGTGCCTCGCCATCATCCAATGTGTGCCTCGCCATCATCCAATGTGTGACTCGCCATCACCCAATGTGTGTCTCGCCATCATCCAATGTGTGCCTCGCCATCATCCAATGTGTGCCTCGCCATCATCCAATGTGTGTCTCGCCATCATCCAATGTGTGCCTCGCCATCATCCAATGTGTGTCTCGCCATCATCCAATGTGTGTCTCGCCATCACCCAATGTGTGTCTCGCCATCATCCAATGTGTGCCTCGCCATCATCCAATGTGTGTCTCGCCATCATCCAATGTGTGTCTCGCCATCATCCAATGTGTGTCTCGCCATCATCCAATGTGTGCCTCGCCATCATCCAGTGTGTGTCTCGCCATCATCCAATGTGTGCCTCGCCATAATCCTGTGCGGGCCTTACCATCATTTAATGTACACCTTACCATCATCCAATGTTCCAGAAGCCTTTAAAATAAGTGCCTAGATACTCTCACCTTGTCACTGCCAGTGCCATAATATTGTTTACCTATTTTGCAATGTAGTAGCTGTCTTATTGTTTGAAAAATATATCAT